AAATAGAACATATTATCTTTATACAAGTAAAATAAGGATTAAAATTATCTTTAAAGTGAATTTAAAGCTCTCAAGTCAAAGTAGAAAGCAGAAATTACATGCAAGTAATATAAGGATTAAAATTATCTTCAAAGTGAATTTAAAGCTCTCATGTCAAAGTAGAAAGCAGAAATTACATGCAAGTGAAATAATACACCTTGAGGAAAAGATGAGATGATGACACTTAGTACAACATGAGAACAAGAATTACATGGGGGGACACAAAGATACCAACTCAAGATTCATAACGAACTCAGAAATAAAAGTTTTAATGTAATCATCAAAAATGTAAATTGTCATCTTTTAAGAATATTCATTTAGTTATATATGATTTTGCAAAACCACATTAATGCCAAGATCAATGTTATCTAAAAATGTATATCCGAAGGTTACCACATTTTCACATCGACTGACTGTACTCTAGTTCTCATCCTTAGAATCAGAGTCCGTCCATTCTCTCAGCCAATACGGGATTGCTGCAGTAACTTACACTCTATACTGGCTTTGAGATATCCAATGAGAAAACATGGAAGAAAAAGGAAATGTAGGTGCTTATGAAGAAACTTCCAGTACAAATTTAATATTTTTGAAGTACTCAAGCAAAGCAGAAACAGGACTCAAAGCAAAACTGTTCTGTTAGCTTGCAGTATTATAATATCACTTCATAACCAATTGGAAACAATAAATGAAATACATTTTCACTACAATATGATAAATTTAAAGACACCTAAATTTAATTAAGAGAATTTAACTTACCAAACTACCCCCATTGTCATCATCGAAATTTGCAGTTTTTGCTCATGGATCTTGAACTCCAACATGTTTCGTAACAGAGGAAACCAGAGTTCAATTGAAAACGAAAAGAGACGATTCAGGAAACAAAGTGAAATGGCCATGGAGAGATGAGAAAAAAGAGGATGGTATAGTATGAGAACATGTTGAGAATATATGGATATTTATATGAGCCTAATATCTTGATTGTCCATAAACTGGTTGTAGCTCATAATATCTCTCACTTGCATTGTTTAATAAATGTGTTTGCTTCTTATCAAGTGCAAATAGATCGTATGAACAAGGAACATGACCTTGAAAGTTTAATGCATTGATGAATCACACAATTAAGCCCCTGTTTGACCCCCATTATTTTGCATTTTTGGGGTTGAAATTTTTAGAATAGTGATTGATGGGAGAATGTGTGGTTGAAATTTTTTTGATTTGTGTGTAATATTATTTTATTTGATGAATGTGTGGTTGAAATGAAGAGTGGGAAAAATTTAATGTAATGTAATGTAATGGGGGCCAAACAAGGGCTAAATGATGAGAAGATTAAAAAATAAGAGGAAGATTACATATATCGCTATCGTTATAATGGAGGAGATGCATCTTAGATTTGGCTAATTAGGCTTATCTATGGAAGATTAAGTGAAATTTTCACACAGCGTTTCTTCAGAATATCTTATACTTTTCTCTCGAATTTCTATCATTCCCCGCATCTTAATGACGTAAAGAATCCTTAATAAGTAGCTAAATTTAATTTTTACTAGAAAGATCTTTGAGGATATATATATATAGTGTAATTCTTACATTTTTTTATGATAAAATAGCTTATATGCCCTGACTACACTTTACTTACGAGAGACGAAAGAAGAATTTGGAGGCCTACAGGAGATGAAGGCGGTAATGCAACAATAGGTTATAGACACATAGAAGGGCGTTGTCGCATGATTAGTAAATTAAATCAAATAAAAAAATTTACTTTTGCAGAGGAGAGTATAGTGCTACCATGAATGCATGTAACGAGCGAAATCCTACAAATGGAAAAAAATAAAAAAATTTTAAGTTCAGTACGTTTCGTAATTCAAGGTGATAATTTACACAAGATTTGAACGTTATTATTGCTACTCAAACAGGGCCTTCTAATTTCAAACCCATAAATTGGAAATTGAGAAATTTTGGCACAATCGGGAGAAAATGAAAAACAAAATTATGGACAGAGTACGAAGCAATGTTAAATAGAAATCTCACATTTAAATGAAAAAGCTACATTCTAGACAACATAATTTCTCACTTCATTAAAGAATTATTATATTGAACATCTCAAAGAACTGATTACACACTCATTCAGATCACAAAGTGCAATCATTAAAATGAAAATGAACATTTAGATGCAGCAGTAATTTTCACTTCATAATTAATATAAGAAAGTAAACAGATTTCGAACAGTGTACTCTCAAAGGTGGACAATCGAAAAAAGGAAATACGATAACCTAAAGTGAATTAAATTCCTAATGAATAACTGGAATGAGCAAACGGTAAACTAATTGAGGAAAACAAACACACTAAATGAAATAAGATCGCACATAGAACATAGAACGGAGCACAGATTATGTTGAGAAAAAAATGCATATAGAAGAAAGAAGATAGTAAGTAAAAAAATTAAGAACAATAGGAATGAATTAACGAATTGAAAATTATACAAATAACCTACATGTTCAATTGCCTATAAATACAAGGGGACAAGAAATTGGAAATGTAAGAACCAAATAGGAAGGAAAGATATAGAAGAGAAGAGTGCACATTACCTGGCAATAGGAAGAGAAGAAATCGTTGTTTAGATGTAGTATGTTTGAAGCTAACAATGAATCTTAGAGGATCAACAAAATAAGGGATTTATTAAATTCTGGAGGAAACTGATACATAGATTGAGAGAAAACTAATACACTGTTAAATATGATTGAAATATGACATAGGTGCAAATGAAGTAAGAATAGTGTTTCTTACTCCATATGTAGAAAATTGAAGCTCATATTTTATTTCTACTGAATTCTATGAATTCAAACCCCTTCATTAACAATTCAAATTTCCCACAACTCTTTCCGGAAATTACCCACTCAATTCACGAAAATCACAATATCATTGAAAACATCTCACACCCAAACTGAAAGAAAATAAACGAACCTTCAAATTTGGTTTGGTAGTCTTGCTTTTCCAGACAGTAAAACACAAGCCCATCAAGAATTTTTGCTTTTGCTGAGAGTGAAACACAGGGCTTCTCAGGCGAAGCAGTGGGAAATGTCTTGGAAATGAAGGAGTGGGAAATGAAGGGGGCTTTTGGAGGGCGCATCAGTGGGAAATCTTTCACGAGTAAGGAATGAAGAAGAAATGACAAAATGAATAGTACTTGGCGGGAAAAAAAAAAAAAGCACGGAGCTTTGCTCCGTAAATTTTATTATTATTTTTTTTCTTTTGAGTACTAAGAATAATATATAATAAAACAAAATTATTTATATGTTGTATATTTTAAAAGTGTACAACATATTTAAAATCAATATGAAATAAATTTACAAATACATATTTTTATCAATTGCCTCTGGAAAAAAAACTTTATAAATGAATTTTAACATATTCTTTTATCAAGCATTTGAAGTAAAAATATTATATTTTGGCAATGTGAAATTGGGTAGACGGAGAGTGAATTCTTTAGAAATTATTTTTTTATATTAAAAGAATTTTAATGGTTGTTTGTTTAATTAAGTAAAGAAATGGGGATAGAATGGAAAAGACATTAATTAGTGGGGGATAAAATGGGACGATAAAATACTACGCAAATAAACAGTAAAATAGTAGGATAGTCAACAATTGTGGCACTGCATTTGCCAGAGATATTTTTTATTGGTAAGAGGATAAGAGATATTTTGTATATACATAGGACAAGACCGTTACATCCTTAATGTACGAATTATTGCCAAAGATTTAAGGGTAAAATGGGAAAAAGAAAATACTTCAAAATGAATAGTACTTGATGGATTGGCTCTTTTAATGTAGTAGGGATAAAGACCAAATAATAAATGAAAAAGACAAACAATATGGAAAGACAATAATTTTAAAATGACATGAGGTAATAACCATAATTCTAGGTGTACGAATTAGCTGCAATTTCTATAGTTTTGTGATTAGTTCCCCTAATGCAATGATTTATGCACGATTCTCTCCACAAATTTATCCACCACATGCTTTTTTGCATCACTTCATGATCTCTTAAAGGAAACAGGTTCGCCCTCAGCCTCGCCACTCCAGGCCATAAGAGGTTCGCAATCATCCTCTTTCACCGAGCCTGGAGGTTCACCAATGGGCGGACCACTTAGCAAGTCTCTTACCATTCAGGCACACACCCCAGAACTTGCACACTGAGCCGAGGGACAAATTTTTTCTTTTATTTTTTCCTACTAGGGTGATACTTAAAATAAATGGGCTTGCGGGGGCAGGCCTGACCCCCACTCCCTCTGCCCCTGCACTCAGCGAAGCAGTTTTGGCTCAGCAAGGCACTAGGACGTCGAGGCTGGGTAATTCTGGCAAGGTGTGTGTGGTTCGTGTCGTGAGGTGGCAAATACATGCTACGTGGCTTTCGTCTTCACATTTCGTTTGTATGTAGCACACAGGGATGTAGTAACACAAACAAGTTCACGGCTTTCGTCTTCACATTTCGTTTGTATGTAGCACACAGGGATGTAGTAACACAAAACAAGTTCACTGTAGTCTGTATTCAGCTGGTTTATTTCCACTCTGGGCACTTGGCATGTATATCTCTATTTGAATAATGCTCATTGTACATTGTTTTGTTGACATCAAGTTTCACACCATGTGTAAATTCAAATTGTGTTTGGCGGGAAAGTGTGTTGTTTTAAAAAACTGTCCAATATAATGTCGCCACGTGACACAATGTCAAACTTAATGTCAAAGTTAGTGTACTTGTAGCATGGTTGTCTCTATTTTGTTCTTTTTCTTCTGCACGTGTCTCTCCTCATTCTGCCTGAGCTATTACATCATCTTCTTGTTAGTCTCTCTTATCCCTCTCACACTATACATCTTATCTCTCTATATAATAAATGCATCAGTGCTCAGGTGATTTACCAGAGGCGAGACCTTGAAAGCTGCTTTTTCAAGTTAGTAGAACGTTCTGAATGTCACCACCTGGTAGAATGGAGGCAAAGACAACCAGCAAAGGTAAAAGCCAGAGCTCCGGCAGCCATCAGACGGCTGCAACACCACAAGAAGCAGCCCTCAAGTGCCCTAGATGCGATTCCTCGGACACCAAATTTTGCTACTACAATAATTACAGTCTCACACAGCCGAGGTATTATTGTAAGACATGCAGAAGGTACTGGACAAAAGGAGGAACCATGCGCAACCTACCAGTGGGTGCAGGCCATGTCCGTGGAGGCTGGTGGAAAAACAAGAAGAATAAGTCTTCTTTGAGGGTTTCACAGCACTACTCCACTGGATCATCTAATAGAGGTAAATTGAACTTACCAGCCACTGCAAGTATTTCACCCTTTGGACTTTATCAAATGCATCTGGCACTACAAAAATGTGTACTGACGGCAATGGAAAATCTGCAACAATCCCTTGTTTTAATCTTTACTCCTTCAGGAAATTCTCCTTTGATGGGTTTCAATTTTCATTTTCCTTCTGTGTTTAAACATGGAGCGGGCACCCCAGGTTTAAGTCATGGAGTTCAAAAAAGGGGCTCATTCCTGAATCCTCATTGTGATCTTGCGACCTCCTTTGAGTCATTGATTTCTATCAATCAAGACATACATTTGAAGTTACAGCAACAAAGATTAATCACTATGGAAATTTTCAACCAAGATTACACCCACAGAGTTTTTGACAAATTTTCTCAAGGGAAGAAAATTTGGGGTTCATCAGCAGCGGAAAGCAATGTCTCGTCTACTAATCTTGAACATCAGATTCAGAAACCAAAATCCATTTCGTTTCAAAACCTATATTCTCCAAAATAGAAGGCTTTTCCAAATTCTTCAAACAAGAAAATTTGGTCAGCAGAGGGAAGCAGCGCCTCATCTACTAATCTTGAACATCAAATTCAGAAACAACAACCCAGCTTCGCAAAGGAGTGGTGTTTCGATAACTGTTATGTTCCAGCAATTGCAAGTAATAGCAATGGAAATGGAAATGGAAATAGGAATCTTGAATAAATAAAAATTCAGTGCACAGTCATAGCTAGCAGAGGAAAATCAAGAGAGGTATAAGAACTTGACTTGTGCTGCTATTGAAGTATTTTAGATGTAATAGTCATAGTTCTGATATTCGATGCTATCAAAATATAATGCCGAGACAATAAACTTCAATCTTTTCTATTTTGATCTCAAATACTTAGAGCTGTTTAATATGTTGCTGCAGAATACACCTTAACCTTTCATTTTCGTAGCCGTAGACTACCCAAACCTTTAACTTCCATTGCAGTCTGAGTCCATTTGATGGATGTCATCCACTTATACATTAGTCAACCCTTAAATTAAATGTTTGGCTCAAATTGACAAATTAAATGAGGGGTAAAATTGTCAAATTATATTTTCTTCCCTAAAAACTTTAAAATAAAAAACCAAAAAAAACAAATGAACTTCAAACTTCTCCAAACGCCCCAAAATCAAAAATCACAACCCGTGAAGAATGTGGAAATTTGGGATTTGCTTTGTATGAATTTCATGAAGCAATACGACGATTTTGGGTTTCAAGATTGCTTGAAAAAATGGAACAAAATTCTTCAGAAACATCATCTCCCTCTTCTTCCATGTCAACCTTGGAAACTCGAACTCCCAAAAATATTACTCCATGTTCTAAATACAAGTCACGGGTGAATAATTCTGATGAGCACAAGGAATATTCATACAATAACCCACTAGAATTTGGGGTAATCTCACAGTTGACTTTAGAGAATTCAGAAATTAATACTGCTTATGACAATTCATTTCAAGATGATGGCTACCATGTGGACATTAGTAGTAATAACATATTAGAAATGGAGTCCCAGTAGGAGATTTTGCTCTCGCGGTGCCAACAGATGGCAAAGATTGATTGTTTGGTGAAGAAATAGCTAGGACTTTTGGAATGCTGATAAATTCTGGGATTTTGGAAAACCTTAAAATGATCCATAATTACTAGACTTAGTCTGGGATTTTGACAAACAGGTGAAGAGAAATCCCAAATTTTCATATTCTTCACTTTTTCTTAGGCCCCGTTCGAGAGGGCTTAAAATCCAATTAAAATTGAAAATATGGCCGTTATTGGGTCCCACCAGTCTAATAAAAGTCAACAATAACGGCTATATTTTCAATTTTAATCTTATTTTAATCCCTCCCATATAAGCTCTTAACTGAGTTGTGATTTTTGATTTTAGGTTGGGTTGGGTAGCGTGGGGTGGAGTGGAGTGGAGTGGGGGTTGTTGGAGAAGATTGAAGTTCATTTTTTTTTTTTTTTAAGTTTTTAGGGAAGAAAATATAATTTGACAATTTTACCCCTCTACTAATTTGTCAATTTAAGTCAAACATTTAATTTAAGGGTTGAGTAACTGATAAGTGGATGTAATTTGTCAAATGGACTACAACTACAATAGAAGTTAAAGGTTTGGGGACTGAGATCGCAAAAATGAAAGGTTAAGGTGTATTCTACAGCAAAATGAAAGGCTTGGAACTTCCGTTGCAATTTTCCCTACAATATATCCATAATAGATTAACACGTCAACAATGAGGCTGAAGCAAATTTGATGACATGCTTTGTGGGTTTGGTTACAACTGATGCAACTGATCACAAAAGGAAATTGTCGATGATTTTGGTAGTTTTAGGATTTATTATTTCATAGTAATTTTAGATTTTACCTTTTGGTTATGTTTTCCTTATGCTAATATTTCAATTAAAATAGTTTATATTAGAATCTTATTATTGTAGTTTAAGAAAAAAAAAATAACAGTATAGCAAACCATAACACTTGCACTCAAAAATTCGAAGACATCTTTGCAATAAACAATTCAAAGACATTTTTGTAAATTCACTCTTGTAAATTTGAAGATTACAGAAATAAAAAGTAAGTTATTTTCCTACTTTCTCTTGTTAACAATTTTCATTTACTTTATTTAATTTTCGGGCAAGGCCTAAAAGGGGAAATACCAAGTAAGTAATTAATTTATTCAAAAGCATTAGATTATATTTTTCAAATAATCCTAACGCTCTTAACCTCTTTATTTTGAATTTCATGACCAAAAAGATAAAGTAATCTCCTGATTTAAGCTGGTTATTCTACTTATTAAGTAAGTTTGTTCAAACCTTTTAAACATGATGATTTTTTTTTTGGTTATAGTCTTAAGCCTTTTTAGAAGGTTAAGAAAAAAAACTGAGAGAAAGTTAAAAAAAAAAAAGTATTTGAAAAAAAAAATTAATTTGCTGAACGGTAAAATACTCTAAGGCCATTACAAATATATTGTTTTCTTTAATTTCAGTCCAATTTTATGCATTACATTTTATGCCATTAAACGATTATAAATTGCTTTATTGTTCTCTAGAAAGTTTTAAATAATCGATTAAAATCTATCTAGAAAATCGAGAAATATGTAGATTAGTTGTTATAGGAAGCCACATATTATCAGCATTAGATAGAAATAGAGGTAACTCATCTTTACATATCAAGAAGTAAATCACTGAAATTTCTATCGCTCAGTGTCGTAATTTCTTGATAAAAGATCCTAAAGATTAAATAAAAATATAAAGACTTTGGAAAGTAATTTAGAATATATTAAAAATCAAAAAACTTAAATATTAAAAAGAAAATTTAGTCATATAAACTAAGCAATATTAGTTCTAATTTGAAAAATAGAGTTAGAATACTAGAAAATGAAGAGTCAAAAAATACTAGACAAGATTTAGATAATGTAATAAATAAGCTAGAACAATTAGATTTAGGTAAAATTAAAGAGCTTAGTAGATTTAAGAAGACTAAGTGGATTTATATATAATGGATAAAGGAAAACAAATTGTAGCTAGTAGTAGTAGAATAGTTGGTAATCCTTTACTAAGAACATTAAGTAGAAAAACGAAATCTAAAACAAGATTAGAATCCCTAATAAATAAAGAAGAACAGATAGAGACATTTAAACAAAATAAATTAAAATTAGTAAAAGCTTTATATATATATAAGGGAATATGTTTAGCAAATCTTTAATATTTTAGCATTATGGTGAAAGATATGTTTCTTGTACACATGAAGATCAATTTGTATCCTTAGATTTAATAGAAAAAGAATCCTATAAAGAGATTGTTAATAAAAATCTTCAACATGCTCATCTAGGATTAATAATAATAGGAGTAAAAGGACTTCATAGAGAAAATTTAGGAGTTAAAGTACTGATATGTTTATATGATAATAGATTTACAGACATAGAACAAGGATTATTAGGAAGTATAGAATTAGACATGAATAATAAATGTGGAATAGTATATTTTACCCCTGATTATTTAGTCAGAACAAAATTTTTTTACAAAGATATTAAAAGAGAAATAAAAACTAAAGGATATCAAATGAAAAGAAATGAAGATAATTTATTAATTTGCACAGGATTTATAGGGAGACTTAGTGAAAATAGCATTACTAACTATAAATTAGAAAATAATCAAATAATTATATTATTAGGACAAAAATGTATAAAAACTATCCCGGCAAAGAAATTCTCTTTGGAAACCAATGCAAGATTATATTGGAATTTGGAAGATATTAATACCAGAAGATAATTTCATGTATAAAAACAGTAATAGAACTCTAAGTATTAGATTTGGAAATTATAATTATCAAGTAGAACAAACAAAAGATAACGAAGAAGAAGAAGGAGGAGAACGTGGATATTTTGAAATAGAAGACTATGAAAATGAAGACGAGGTTAATGCAAGATAGTAAAGATGAAAAAGAATTTGGATATATAGACATAGAATATCATAGAAATCTTAGAAAAGATAGAAAAATAGAAATTAGAATGTTAACAGAAAAAGACCAAGCAAATATAGAAACTAATATGGAAGAAGCAAGTAAAAGAACTAAAAGGAAAAGTTTAGAAATCTTATAAAGTGCTTTATTATTCTTTAGAAAGTTTTAAAGAATAGATTATAAATATATACAGGACCGTTCCTCCAACCCATTAATTTGACAAGTATTTTTGACAAATATTCGTAACTTTTAATTTAATTCAATCCAACGCTCAACATTTATCAATTAAAATACCATAGAATTCTGAAACTTACTTCCAAACACCCTTAATTACCTTATATTAATCCCTAAAATCTCTCAACAACACCGTGATTTTTTGTCATCTATCATTTTATTCCATTCTCAATCACCACCGAAATTCATCATCTCTCTAGCGAGCAAGAATCTCCAAACCATCATTGCCCGGAAATAATTCATTTGCCCATGTTTAAATTTTAGGAAGAGTCCTATTGTGATATCAATTTATTTATTTAGGAGAGCAGAATAGGATCTAAATTGATTTTTTCAGGTATGATTCTATCGCATACAACTGTTCTTCAGCAGAAATCTCACACGGGTTTTCAATTTTTGCTATTTCGAACCTTCTGCTTGGTTTTAAAATTGCATTATATCATGTTCTTGAATTTGATTTTCCTCTAATATTCAAATTATTGGTAGTTCTATGCAATCAGTATCGTTGACCGATTCTTTCAAATTTGTTTTGTAGATGGATGCAACCAATTGTGGCAATTGTATACATGTCTCTCAATCTGATGAGATTGGGTCATCATCAATATGAGGCAAAGCACCTTACGTTGGGATGAAATTTAAGACAGCGGAGGAAGCAAGGGCATACTATGAAGATTTTGGACGACAAAATGGTTTTTGGATTCGTACTCAAACAACAGTTAAGTCACGCCCACGTATAAATGAAGTTACCCTTGTTAAATTTGTGTGCTCACATGAAGGAAAATATAATAGTAGGAAAATTGTTGAAGGTTCAAGTGAAATAGAGGGCTGTTAGAAAGAGAGTTCTACAAAAAGAAGAAGTTGCTCAACAGTTAGAGGTGGATGTAAAGCTAACATGCGAATCTCGAATGATATTGAAGGTGGCTATTTGATAGTTAAAGCATTTGAAAATGATCACAACCATAAATTTGTTTCACCATTGAAAAGGATAAAAATGGGGTCAAATAGAAGCATGCCTAAATTAGCAAAAAATCTTTCTAAAGCATTCAGAGATGAGAATATACAAGTTACCAAAGTTGTCTCGATTCTTGGTGGTGATACTATTGGTTTTAATGGGAGAGATTGTTATAACCACTTAAGGTATATAAGACGTAAAGAGTTAGAAGTTGGTGATGCCCAGTCTGTCCTCACATTTTTTCAAAAGAAGCAAGCAAAAAATCCATAATTTTATTATGCGATACAATGCGACGAAGATGGACGAGCAACCAATTTCTTTTGGGTAGATGAAATGTGTCGCATGTCATATCGGTGTTTTGGTAATGTTGTAACGTTTGACACAACTTATAGGACAAACAAATATGACATGCCTTTTGCTCCCTTTACTGGTGTGAACCACCATTCTCAATCTATACAATTTGGTTGTGCATTATTACAAGATGAGACAGAGGTAACATTTTCGTGATTATTTCAAACATGGCTTGATGCTATGGGAGGATGTTATCCCATGTGTATCATAACAGACCAAGATCAAGCAATGAAGGCAGCTATTACTAAGGTTCTTCCTCACACTCATCATCGTTTATGTCTTTGGCACATCATGAAAAAATTTGGTGAAAAGTTATCACATATATATTACAAGAAGTCAGATTTCAAAAAAGATATGAAAAGTTTCATTCACTTTACGTATAAAGTCAAAGTTTTTGAGAAAAAATGGAAGGAAATGATTGTAAAGTATGGTTTGGAAAGTAACAAATGGCTTCAGAATTTATACGTAATACGTGATAGTTGGGTTCCAGTGTATAATCGTGGATTATTTTTTGCCGGCATGAACACTACTGGACGTAGTGATAGTATTAACTCATTTTTTGATAGCTTTGTTACTTCTCGAACTAACCTTCATGATTTTATTCTAAAATATGATCAAGCTTTAGCTTCAATTGTAAAAAGGGAGAATGATGAGGACTTTGAATCAGAGCATAAATATAGAATTGTTGATGATGACACTTTACTTCTAAAACATGCATCAAAAGTATATACTAGAAATATTTTTGAGAAATTTAAAGAAAAGTGGATGAAAGTCAAGGATTACAGAGTTGAAGAAGTGAATTATGATTGTGTGACATACATAGTTCAACATAGAGAAAGAGAATTTGAGAAGTTTCAAGTAAGATATAATTTGCAAAATCATGAAGGAAAATGTGAATGCCAACATTTTGAGTTTGTGGGAATAATTTGCAATCATATTATCAAAGCACTTATTTGTGAAGACATTGACGTACTTCCTTCTCATTTTATAAAAAAGAGGCAGATGCAAGGAGCAAATAAATTTAGGAGTATAGAATCAGAAAAAATTGAGATTAAGGATGATGAACAACATACAAAGGCATTGAGACTTGGTCATATGTGTAGGATAACAACCCAACTAGCTTGTCATGCTGCCGAATTGAATGAAGGATACCAATTATATATCAAAGCTATTGAAGAAGTACATGAGCAGATTTACAGAGTGGCTATTGGAACAAAGTTTCCTGTTGAAACTTCTCCAAATCAATTAGATAGTTGTAATGAGGAGAGATCTCAATTTGTGCTATCGGATCCCAATGTTTCAGTCACAAAAGGAAGGAAGAATGATGAAAAATCCAAGGGAAAAGACCATCTTACTTCAGGGAGGTTCAAATCAAGTATTGAGGTGGCACAAAAAAATAAAAAGCGTTATTGTGCACTATGCAAAGAATCAAGCCATGATAAGAGGATATGTCCCAAGTACCCTAAGAAAAATGTAAATGGACATACTGAGCAAATGGACTAAAGCATGTAAGTATTTATTTTTTTTGTTATTTCAGTGGTAAATCAATATTTTATGTGTTCGTGTAATAAGTTGTTTTTCTTTCGTGTAGGATTCGAATTTCGAGTTAGAATTTCAAGCCAGGCAATGTACAAATGAATGTTGATCAATGATGGTAACAGGAGATTAATCTTTACTCCATATTCTTGTCAATGCTAGTGAATGTGCAGAAGAATGCTGGTGAATGTTGTTGACGAATGTTGTTGACGGGAGATTAATCAAAACAGACTTAGTGCTTGGCATGACAAGAGGGCTGCACTTTGCTAAGACGCATTCTATCAACATCTCGTACCTTGAGTTTGAATGTATCAATGTTGTGATACTAGTTAAAGTTCCATCTATTCTTCTTAGTATTTTTGATTTATTGCCATTTCTCCTTAATATTTCGAATTTACTGTAGTTTTTTTTTCTATTAACAGTACCACTTTCATTCAATGTGAAACAAATGTGAGTATTTTAGCTAGACATTTTGTATTGCACTTGCTTATTTGGAATGGTTTGGAGAGCCCCAAGCTTTATTTCCAAGACTCTTTCGGTTGATTAGTTGAGACTAAAGAGACTTTACTCCATGCGTTTCCATTATGAATCCATTGTATTTGCATCCTGCAATGGACATTTGCTATTGTCTTTTTACTCATCTACATAGGCACCCCATTGAGTTCAGCAGCCTCTACTATTGCTTGTGATGCATGTGTCAGTTTTAAGCTTTGCAATCATTTCATTAACCAAAGCCTTTTCCCTTTCTTGCTGTAAAGATTCAGATATTATTGTCGAATGTTAGTCAGATGGGCTCTTACATGCCGAAGCTTTGATGACTCAACAAATAACATAAACTATCAATGAGGTTTATTTAGATACTAAAAGTGATTATTGGAAAGAAATGTTCTGAATTTATCATCACTGTGGTTTGACAAAGTTATGCACAACTTAAACCATCAATCCACCAGATGCCACATAAATCAGTAATCACAGACCAGAAAAGAAAATGAGATTTATATATACATTACATCATAGTTATGTTGAATTCAACAAAACTATTTAACCCGAATTTTACAATTGACAAGAAATCAGAATGCAAAAACTCCATTTTGAAATGCCTCGATTGACAACAAATTAAATTCAAATTTTACATCAAAAATGAAGAGAGTAAAGACAATATAGAAAAACACGTGATAAGGAGGCCTCGACCGGAATACGACCCAAGTCCTCCATTTAACACATCATTCGAAACAACACTTTTCGTCATCTCATCCCCTGCCCGTCTCAAATTTTCAGTCTTTGAATCAGTAACGAAACGGGTATTCGCTTGAATTCCCTTAAAGCCTTCAAAATCTTGTCGGCCACTTATCTGTCAAACAAATAATCTCAACGAAGCCCGATTAACTTAATGAGAATTAGAAATTGGAGGATTTTATAATTGAAATTAAGATTTAGAAAATAAAAGTTCTCTCATAATTTGAATATTAGAGGAAAATCATATTCAAGAACATGATATAATGCAATTTTAAAACCAAGCAGAAGGATCGAAATAGCAAAAATTGAAAACCCGTGTGAGATTTCTGCTGAAGAACAGTTGTATGCGGTAGAATCATATATTATGCTCTCCTAAATAAATAAATTGATATCACAATGGGACTCCTCCTTAAATTTAAACATGGGCAAAAAAATTATTTCAAGGCAGTGATGGTTTGGAGATTCTTGCTCGCTAGAGAGATTATGAATTTCGGTGGTGATTGAGAATGGAATAAGATGATAGATGACAAAAAATCACGGTGTTGTTGAGAGATTTTAGGGATTAATATAAGGTAATTAAGGGTGTTTGGAAGTAAGTTTAAGAATTCTATGGTATTTTAATTGATAAATGTTGAGCGTTGGATTGAATTAAATCAAAGGTTGCGATTATTTGTCAAAAATACTTGTCAAATTAACGGGTAGGAGGAACAGTTTTTGACGCTTAGCTTGCGGCATTCATGAGTGAATCAACATGAAGTTGCGAAGCTTATTCATTATTTCTATGGTGTCCCACTTCTGCACACATTGCTTTACTTTATCAACTTATCAATATATTTTGTTTTATCCGATCGTGTAACTAGGGGTGGGCATTTTTTTGGGAATCGAAACCAGATAGAACGATAAGTTCGGTTTCAATTCCTCTACTAAATAGGTCGATTTTGGTACCATGCATTGAGAACTAGTCGATTTTCGTCCGAGTTTCAGCTTTGAGAATCAGTAGTAAATTCGAATTTCTCTTTTTGTTTGCACCAAGATGTACTAGATCTTTGAACACTAAACTCCAAGATCATCTCATGTCAACATTCTATTTTGGTACACTTTTTCTTCTTTCCTTTGTAGTAAAACCTAATGGGTAATCAAAATTCGAGTCTAAATAATTTTGAATTATCCAGCCATCTTTCTATTTCTTAGTTTCCCTATCGATTGCCATGTTCATTTTGAATTTGGAACTGCATTTCTTCTTTCATGCCCATTTTCCAAATTTTTGACTTATCACAATCAATTGCCTTTTTATGAGAAGAAGGTTCAGAATATTTAATAGCTTCATGTGAAACTCAAACAATTTTCACTAAGTTTGATGAACCATACTTCATATTTGGTTTAATTGATCTTCTTTTCACATCCCTTACTAATTGATAATACTGCAAATTGGTATTTTTCGATTTGATTTTGACACCTCAAAATTACATACAGCAATCAAACATTAATAATCTTATGTTTTACAACTTAGAATTAATTAGGTATTAATCACATGCAACGGAAAAAAATAAAGTAAGAACTAAATATTAATTTAAATGGTTCTTATGAGCACGATATTTTTATTTTTATTTCCAAAAGAGATTGAACTGGGCAGGGAACTAGGGAAGGTCGAAATGAAGAAGATGAGAGGTTTGGTTTGCGCTTTTTTGTAGTAGTGGGCTTTTCTTCCTTTTTGTTAAAGATTAGCCCAAAAACAAATACCCATTGATTTACATTGTCAATCAAATTTGGTTCATGCCATTTGCAATTTCCAACCTTTATCTGATTATCATTGTGTTTAGGGGGGTCAATTTGGTTCATTGACTCGGAAAAAGCCCAAGCCGACTTGACCTGTAGCTCGGTAGAACCAAGCCGATAAATGGGACAAGGGACTTGTCTTGAACCTGCTTCATCCCACTTTAACCGAGTACGAGAGTAGGGCAATATAACAAAAAAATTCAACGGAAATGACTAATTTGCTCCATACTCGATCTGTTGTCATTCCTAATAAAAAGTAACAAGCCCTTTAGTTGTATTTTTTGTTTTGTTATGGTCAAAAAGTCACGTACAATTAAGAATAGACAATTTACTGTAATTGAACCTCTTGATTCAAAATCGAATCGGAATCATCAGATCTTGTTAGATTTCAAAAATTACATGGAACCAAATGGTTTCATTTACAAAATACTCGAACCTTTTCTTAAAATACGAATTGATATTTGATTAGGAAGCCAATTTTTATTTTAATTTTTTATTCTTTTCACTTTTACGGTTTTATTCGCCGACCCTTACCTAGAATCCCTACGCACCCAGGAGCCGTAATGTTAACTGGGGCGCCGCTAGATTCTCTCAAAAATAATTCTAACCTTAAGAGAAAGGTCCCATATGCCAAACTTGTGCCAGAAATTGTAAAAACATTGACGTTACCACCCACTCCAGTGGGACCACCAGTCCACCAAAACTTCTAAAAGAGGCGTAGGAAAGAAAAAACAATGTACATCAAATTTGACCGTTTGTCACATAGCAAATTGTTGTTTACCAATTTAAAGAAAAATTAGTTTTTTCGTCCTCAATTTTTCGAAAACAAAGTCAATATCTAGCATGATATACACTTTGAAATGTACATTTGTCATTTCTTAGTCTGAATGGTAAATTGTCCTTCGAGAAATCAATTGAGTCATGGATAGCCTCGACCTCACAAATATAGCAAGTTGACGTTGAATTTACGTTAAAATATTTTGTAATAGAAGAAATATTTGTTTTCACCTTTCGAATAAGTGCCGATACATGTAAGAGTTGTGGTCGAGTTAGTCACATAGCAAATTGTTCTTTACCAATTTAAGGAAAAAAAAATAGTTTTTTCGTCCACAATTTTTCGAAAACAAAGTCAATATTATCAAATTTGGTGTGAAGGATAGAGTGTACAAATGGCAAAATCCATTTTTTTTTAAAAAAAAACAAAGTCAATATCAAGCATGATGTACACTTTGAAATGTACAAGTGGCATTTCCTTTAGTTTGAATGGTAAATTGACCTTCGAGAAATCAATTGCGTCATGGATAGCCTCGACCTTACAAATATAGCACGTTGTCGTAAATTGTTGAATTTACGTTAAAATATTTTTTAATAGAAGAAATATTTGTTTTGACCTTTCGAATAAGTGCCAATACATGTAAGAGTTGTGGCCGAGTTAGAAGATCGCGTCATTTTCAGACAAAAAAAAGGTCTGACTTTTCAGTCAATTCCACCATTGATTTGATGCATTATGCAACTCAATCCATTTAAATTAATTGCTACATTACCGTCTGCGTCATTTTGTCAAGGAGAGCTCAAAATGGTTACGTATGTTATTTTTAATGTATGGTAAATGAATAATGTTATAAATAATTTATTTATTTTTAATTATCAGTGTACGTTAAACTTGCTGTCCTCCCAGTTCCCACCTACTCACGCAGCCCACCTACCAAATCCTGGGAAGAAATCGTAATATATTACTGTGCTATTCTCAAATATCAGACCTGTGATTGGGAAGAAGCTTGCATGCAACAAATGGCTTCTAATTCCAAATTACATGTAGTGATGTTTCCATGGGTGGCTTTTGGGCATATCATTCCATTCTTTGAGCTCTCCAAATTCATAGCTCAAAAGGGTCACAAAATCTCATTTGTTTCCACTCCAAGAAATATAGATCGTCTCCCAAAAATCCCTTCTCATTTAGTTTCTAACATAACCCTGGTTAAGATTCCACTGCCTAAAGTTGAAGGACTCCCTGAGTCTGCAGAGGCAACCATGGATATCAGAAATGAGGATATGGACCGTTTGAAGAAAGCGTATGATGGGATGGAAACTGAGTTGACTCGTTTCTTGGAAGAGTCACGTCCAGACTGGATTATATACGATTTTGCTCCACACTGGTTGCCTCCAGTTGCAGCAAGACTTGGGATTTCTCGTGCGTTTTTCTTGATCTTCAACGCCTGGATTTTAGCTTTCTTTGGACCATTAGAGATCTTGATTAACGACACAGATGAAAGGACTAAAGTTGAAGATTTCATGATCCCACCAAAGTGGGTCAAATTTGAGACTAAAGTGGCTTATCGACGATATGAAGCAAACTGGATTGTCGGGGCAACTCAGAAGAACGACTCAGGATTTTCAGATTCTTATCGAATTGGTAAGGTAATTGAAGGCTCTGAGGTTATTATCCCAAGATACTGCAACGAGTTTGAACCTGAGTGGTTAAAATTACTCGAAGAGCTTTACCATAGACCAGTGGTTCCACTAGGATTGATGCCACCTCAAGTAGAAGAAGATGACACTCAATCATGGGTTTCAATCAAAACTTGGCTAGATAATCAAAATAAACGGTCAGTTGTTTACGTAGCATTAGGAAGTGAGGTGACGCCGAGTCAAGATCAACTCAATGAGCTAGCTCTTGGATTGGAGTTATCTGGTGTGCCTTTCTTCTGGGCACTGAGGAAGCCATCTGGGTCCGGCGCCTCCTACTCAGTGATTTTACCAGATGGGTTCGAGGAGAGAATCAAGGGCCGGGGCATGGTGTGGAAGAGTTGGGCACCTCAGTTGAAGATATTGAGTCATGACTCGGTGGGTGCATTCTTGACTCACTGTGGTTGGAGTTCTTTCATAGAGGGACTCGCTTTTGGTCTCCCCTTAATTGCCTTGCCCTTTCTGGTAGACCAAGGTTTGAATGCATCCCAGTAACGACTAGTCGTACAAGGGATGGAAATCCCAAAGAACCACGACGATGGAACATATACGAAGAACTCAGTGTCCGACTCGATAAAATTAGTGATGGATGAAAATGAGGGGAAAACATTTCGAGAGAGAACTAAAGAAATGAGTGAGGTATTTGGCGATAAAAAATTACATGATCGCTATATACAAAATCTCATTCAATATCTCGAAAGTAGTTAGAGCATCCTTTCGAATGTCGCAACAAGTGAATAATTATATCCTACATCATTAGAATCTCGAAATCCTTGATTGTTTCTTGTTAATTAACAAAATTCTTGATTCTTGATGATCATTATACTTGGAATTCAACATGTGAAAAGAAAGAACAAGAAATACTATAGTAACATTCCTTTTAACACAAAATTCTTGGATTCTTTCTTGTTATTTTGGTGAATCTTAAACGAAAACAAAAATAGAAATTCATATATTAAATTAAGTCCTTGTTCGACCCCATTTTTGAGGAAAAACTTATTTTGGAATAATTATTTTTTGGAGAATATATAATTAAAAAATAAGAAAAAAATTTAAATTTACGTATAACATTATTTTACGAGAGATTGTTTGATTAAAAATTAGTTTTTGTAAAAATAAAATCAAAACAGGGGCAGACAAGTTGAAGAATGAAGACCAACTAAACGAAACCCGCTTAGTGACCGACAACCTGTTTAAATGAGCTGTAGCATAATTATTATGTATCTAAAATTTTGAATAGTATATAACTTTATCAAAGTCTCCAAATATCTATAATATATTAAATATCATATTAAATGAGAATAATTTTTCAAACGGTTCTAACCCTACCATAATTCATTGTCACGTATATATACCCTAATATTAATTTTAAATTAATTAAAATTCACGCATATTCAGATAAGACTTTTACAGCCCTTATAAAACGTTTCATAATAACATGTGACATTCCCAAAAATATCAACCACTATATTAGTTCATGCTCAGACAGAAATACAGTCCTTATTCGATCTCGTCAGTTTCAAAATACATTTTTTCTCTTTCTTCTTTTCAATCATATATTTTCCAATAAAATAATAAAACACGTATACCAATTTTTTTTTTTTAACCACACATTCTCCATCAATCTATTATTTCAAAATACGTTTTTTTTTTATTATTTTTTTTAAGAGGAGCTCAAACATGCTCTTAATTTTATTCTTTAACTTCAATAAAAATTCAATGGAATAATATTGTGTTTCTTGAAGACCAAAAAAGGGATAAAGATAAAATTGAATATTTGTCGAATATAGTTATATTGTTTCATAATTCCTTCTCTCATTTTTTTCAAAAAATGTGGGTCCACGAGTTAAATACCGTCATTGAGTGAGATGTTGAGACATATTTTGAATACATACGAGCTCAATAAGACAAATTAATGGTCCATAAAATCTCAAAAATAGAAAAAAAAAAATAAAAAATTGAGACAACAACGTGGTATCCAAAAAGATCAACACATTTTGTAGTTTTAAGCTAAGCTGGACGTGCTTAACAGTAATTTCATAATTCCTTTTCTCATCTCTGAAGGAGATAATTATATTGTATAGTGAAATGGTTGTTTGATTGAATGACAAAATGATAGTTAAGTTTAATTCGTATGAGTGTAATTAAATTCTACGAAAATAGAAGTAAAAAATAAATAATGAAAATGAAAAAAAGTCAATAATGAAATCCGGGGCAAGTGATTAATATTTTCTCCTTAAGACAATTGTTCAACGACGGTGCTAACGGATTACGATATTTGTCTTTCAAAATACAACAGATACAACTTGTAGTAGAAGCACTTCGAATCACAAGTGCTTGCTATGAAAGTATAAACCGCAAGTGCACGAGTCTCATTTAAGTAATAAAATTGACTTTTTGAATTCGAGTTGTCGATCTCTCGATGAATGTTTACTTTCGATTACACAATTTTAATTAATTTAATTCTAAAAATAAAAAGAAACGCACACAATAAAGATTTTAATTTTAGAAAATAACTAAAATTCTACAAAATAAAAAACATGAACACTTGGAAATTTTGGAGGAAAACGTTGTTGGAATTCATGTTTTCACTTAATCGTCGCTTAATTAATTTTCCACGAACCAATTAACAAATTACTCATTTACGATATTAGACCCAATTTTTCAATTTTAGTTAATTATCTCTCTCGAGCGAAATTAACTCTAATTGATTTGTTTAATTTATTATATCTCTATGTCGATTAAAATCAAACAATTGCATTAAATATTTGTGAAAATAGCTCAATGGGTCACCTAAGTTTAGGAGTATATCTCTATCTCCTACACAAACCTAGAATATTTACTATTTGATTTAAAATATATAATCTTCTCTCAACGATGTACAAATCACTAAACTCAATCATTTAATAGCCAAATAAATGAAAGGCATTCAACACAATAATAAATACACATGAAAATAAGTATTTTAACGTTAAAGAACAAATATTAAAATTAATTAAAGTTAGGTTAAACCACTACCATAAATCCCAACACAAATATTTAGCTCATGTTATACAAATGATAAAAAGAAGAATATTTATAGCAATACATTATAACTATGGCAAAATAATTGGAAAAATACAAGGTTATAAATAAAACTTTTTTTGAGCCTAATCTTGACTTTTCTCAAATATTTCTTCACATTTTCTTTGAAATATTCTTTTTATTGTGCTCTTGATTTTGCACTCAAAAATACCAAGTAAATTGTGGAAAGGAAAGAAAAAAAAATGAAAATGAAGAGGAAAAATGAAAATGAAAAGAAACAGAAGCAGAATCCATTCAAAAACCCCTATCCCATAAATTGTAACAAAAGCCCCTGATTTTGAAAAGTAAAGGCAAGATGATCTCCAAGATTTTGAACCAGGCGTCTAGGTGCTGCTACAGTGACGCCTGACACCAATTCTTTGCCAAAAAAAATAAATTTGGTTTCATTTTACAGCCAAGTTCCCTAGATAATTGCACATCAGGTCCCTCAACTTTGATCTTGTACAATATGATCCTTATATTTTGACTTTCATATCAATCCTACCCTTCATAAATTGTATCTAAGGTCCTTCAACTTTATATACTTGTACATTTTGTTCCCAACTTCACAAATTTCGTAATCTTGTAATCATTTTTTTCCTAATTTTGCCTTGTTCTATTTTATTGGGTGATTTTTACCTACAAATACAATAATTACTTTATTATAAGTAGAAATTCACCCATTTAATCAATATTTAAGCTCATTTATGTATTACATAAGTAAAACACACTTATCAAATACCTTCAAAATTAAATTTTTACTCGTCCCAAACAAGATTATCTACTAACACAATAAAGTAACACATGATAAAGATTAGCAACGTTAGATAGCTTGTTAAAAATATTAGTGAATGTAAATTTGTGAATCAATTCACAAATATACCTCCAA